TTATAACATCAAATTACTAAGAAAGGAGAATAAAAAGTCTATTGAGCTATAGATAACAGAATCTTATTTATATATGCTTTATATAACATGCTTACTTTTTGTTTTATTGTTTTTTCACTGTGTAGGATGCTATACTATATCATTTCTGGAATAAAATATGTAGGTCTTGAGATCTGACCTCTGGTAATTTTTGATACTGTAAATAAAATAAATATATAATTAGGTGATGTGTACTATAAAGCAAAAAATGATAGACGATACACTAAAGAGAAGTGGAAAGAAATCACAGAACACTACCAAAAATGATTAAATCACAAAAGAAGACAGAGAAAGAAAACTTCTATAAAAAAACAGAAAACAATTAACAAGACTGACTGGTAAATCCTTACATATCAGTACTTACATAAAATATAACATGATTAAATTTCTTTTTTTAAAGTCTAAAGATGGACTTTATTTTTTAGAAGAAGTCTTTTTTATTGCCTTTTCTTTTTTTCATTTTTTAGGGAAGGGTCTACAGGATGTTCAGGGTCTCGCTACTAGATTGGACTCATAGTGGTCTGCCTGTTTACAGCCTGCCAAGAGCTGGGATTACAGGCGCGCGCCACCACGCCCAGTCTCAGTCGCGATCTCATTGCGCCCCGGGGGCGGGGCCGGCATGGCAGGCCCGGAGATCGAACACAAGTCCCTGAGCCTGCTTGCAGGTGCTTTAATCCGCTGAGCTATTTGGCCAGCCCTTAAAAAAAGGTTTTGAGGGCTACAAATTACAAAAGAAAGCAGAGCACGATGTTGAAATCTAGTGAATACATTTTTGCTGGTGCATGAAAACTTAATCCAAGTTACTCAATGAACAACTTCATCCCATTCACAATGTAACCAGTTGTAATCTTCTCCAGGTCCTTGGACCTTTATTTTCAATTACATTACATGTTCCTCTGTCAAAGTGAGCTTTAAATGCCATTGTCTTGGCTAAGGAGAATGGCACCTCCGAAAAGGGCCCCTTCCGCTCCGTCTCTGGTGGTACTGTTCTGGGTTGGATTTTGGCCAAGGGCTCCTTCACAGTGATCACTGTCACCACAATGCCATGACCACACAGAGAGGCACCAGAAAGAACAGAGGAAAATGAAAAGGCAGACATTAAAATCATCCAGGATCCACTGTCTATGGAGGCGTTTGGCTCATGGCAAATAAACATGGCAGGTGGGGAACATTCCAGTCGGCCGTGGGAGTCCCAGTGAGTGCACAGGGCTGGGACAGAGAAGCGTGAGCCTGTTATCCCTGATAAGACTGCAGGGGCCCAGGACAGGCTGACCTTGCCTCTGCCCAGGGCCTCTGGTTTAATGATGGTCACATCCTTTAATACATGCCTTTCCGAAGTTCTCTCCTATTAGGAAAGAACTTTTGCACTCCAGAAGTGAGACATTCAAATGGTCAGACTTTTCTAAGGAACACTGAAAAGGGATGCATGGAAAAAAAAAAAAAAAAAAAAAAAAAAAAAAAAAAAAAAAAAAAAACATCCACTGACTGCAGAATTTCTTGGTAGGAAAAGGACTCCCCACCACCTGACTCCAGAACTTTTCAGGTCTGTTCTCCCAGCTTCATTAAGGATGAAAACCAGACAGTAAACAACTGAACTGAAGACATCAAGGGCTAAGGCAGCCAGAAAATGCTAACATGCAAGCAGCTGTCCAGGTACTCAGAACTCATGCGTAGCCACGACCACTGGGAGACTTAGTGATGAGCAGGGCTCTCTGGGCAACTGAATTATCACACAACTCATTGGCTTCTGAGAATTTGGATACTTTCACAGTTTAATTTGCAAACAGAATTTTT